GAGCAGCCCGTAGCGCATTATAGCCTCGGGACCAACGTTGAAAGATAATAATACAGCTCGTCTTTGTCAATGGAGATTTTTTATACTGCCCATGACGAGGCGCGAGAATTGCAATTCTCTGCGAGTACGTTGACACGATCGGGCAGCCAATATACATCGGAAGGATACTCAATGATATGGAACAAGAACTAGAATCAAAACATGTCTTACGTGAGCTTGAAAAGGGATTTCGAAGCACAGCAAATTGATTTTGTCATCGTTATAAAGCTTGCGGTATACTGCAAGATGCTCGATTTTATGAAACAATTGACGACTTGGTAAATGCTAAGTCAATATTTATCCCATGATAACATCTGACAATTACTGACTCAAGCAATTCGCAACGATGAGTGAGAATATTATTCTCCTCGGGCATTGATTGCGATTTGTATATTTAATCGGTCGAGAAAAACATTACATTAGAACGTTGGCTGCCTGGTACATCTCGTCCCTCGGTGGGCATATCCCTTGCTTTCGAAACAGATGCACGAGAGCGGCACCGCCGAGCAAGGAGACAAATAAAAAACGCAAAAATTAAAAGTCAATTGCATACACACAGGCGCGCGTATATAGAGACATACTACGAGGAGAGCGACGAGCCTTGCAAGGCACGTGGAGCCGCCGCAAGATTCGATTTTCAACCCCATCGTCCCTTTGAGGCCATATCGGCGCTTCTGCTGGCGTGGTGGTGCGGCAGCGACGATATCGCTATATTATGGACTGGTAGTCTCTCTCTTGAGGTGCAGCAGCACTAGCTCTTGTAGCAGCGGCATCGGCAGCAGCAGAAACCACGAGCGCCTTTTATTAGGTTACAAGAGCGCGTCATATGAAAAGCAGTCCAGTTTCTCTTTGTCTAGCGAACCATCTGTCACCCTCCTTTATACCCGAGCCGAGTATGTGTATGTGCGGACATGTACGTGCAATATATTCGTATTGATACGCGCGCGACTATATAGGTCTGCGTGTGTGTGTGTGTGTGTATGTGTGTGCGCGTACGACTTTTTCTTTATCTCGAAACGTCTCCCCCGTGTCGAGCGATATAAGTCTCTCTCTCTCTTCGTCACCCCCTTGTTAGCCTGGCTCCGCGAGCGATACATATTAAATCCTCGATGATTTTTCGTCGCTGCTTTTCTCCGATCGAGTTTACTCCCGTCGATGAAATGACTGTAATACCATTGTGCGCAAAGTCGCGCGCGTGTGTTTTTGGGTATATCGATCGCGCAACCGCGTAAAAGCCTAAGTGGCTTACGATATTGTTGAGGCACGTGCCAAGTCTTGGTTTTCAAAAATTTGTTATAAATCTTAACGGAGCACCATGTGCTCTCGTGTAAGAGCAAAGAAAAGAGAGAGATACAGACAGACAGGGCGATGCTGCTGCTGCTTTTAATAGAAAATTAATCTCCTAAAAATGAGGGTGGATACAAGTACATAGTCTGTCATTTCAAAAGTCATCGATCATCCAGTTATCGAATTTTATTATTATTGGCGTCTTCGTGAGGCACGCGTCATCTGTCATGTACGCAATGAAAATAAAAATTGAGGATATTTTTTCAGAAACTTTTGTAGATACGGTACATTAATAAATAGTAGACAATCGATTCTTTGGCTATCATCGACAATTATATAAGTAATGAAAAATTGATAACGTGTCAAAACCCTGTAAAAGAGAGAGAGAGTAAAGTCGTACTCGAGATTTTTATCTTGCGAAGCCCCGTGCGCGGTTCGCGTATACGCAAAAAAGCTCGTTCTCAAAAGTGAGGACCTTCAACATTTATCGCGCTTATACCGCGAACGGGCATATGCGTCCGTACAATGATGCGTCATCGATGTCAGAGAGAGACGAGCATCATTGAGTCGATTATCAAAGAATAAGATTGGCCGCTTTGTTGCTACTTCAGTCAAGCATATGTACAGCTGACCATGTGAGTTGGAAAAGATAAAAGATAGATAATGGGCATAATGCGATGGTCGCCGCGCAAGTTTACGTAGGAGAATCGCACATGCGTTGGAGCGAGTCCGTATACGACGAGTATCGATTTATGTACTTTACACCTATACTTATATTCTCGCGTTCGAGCACTGGGAATACCAACTTATCTTTCCGTAAAAGTTTGTTTGCCAGTGAGCGGCTGCAGCTAGCAGCTACATCGAATGGGATTTCGCACTCGGTCTGACCAACGACGTGGACTCGAGGTAAATCGCACAGCTCGAGCTTTACAATAATGCCCAGTCGGATTTTTCTGCCTCCGCTCGCGCATGCGAGAGTTCAATGAGAGTAAATACCTATTCCAGTGCATTGTACACTTGTAGAAACCAAATACATGCAGCATAGAGTTCAAAGGTACTAGACCGGCTACTGTGTGGTACATGCACAGTGGCATCGCTAAGTACGCATAGAGAAGCTATTCCAACGAAAATCCCCACTAGCGCCATTAAAGGATTACGAATCGTCATTATTTGGCATTACGCTATCCGTTGATTATCGGATTGACTAATAAAGTAGGCACCGGTAGTGGCGCGCCTGCACTATGCCGCTGCTGCTGCATCATCACGAGGGAATTATTTTGTTGTAATACGGCGTGTATATAATACGCACGTAGCGAACTTGCGTACAGCGAGGGAGGAGTGGATCGATGTAACGCTATCTTTTCTAAAATCCCGCGGCATCATCGCGCGAACTCGTGTACGCCACCGGTTAATAATCAAGTTTTACTTTACGATTTCCGATCTTGCTATGTTTCGCGCATAATAATCACGTGAGATTACAATTGTTTGATTGGAATAATCAGTGCTGGTGACTGTGCCGACTAGACTGTATACAACTTTTGGATCAAGTCGCTTATTACAGCTCGGGTTATTGCCAGCTTTGATTTACCTGTTACACGAAGCACGCTGAAAACCCCTATACGAGGATCACTCTGCGTACTCGAAACGTATACAATGTACAAAGAAGCTTGATGAGCCACTGAAGAAAAGTTGCATTTGCGTGTATCGAATATTAACGACTTGCTTGAGAGAGAGAGAGAGAGAGTGCAAGTCGCGTCGAAGGAAGCTCGTACAAAGTCGAGATTCCAACACAATAGCCCAGTGGTACAAATGCTACGAGCCACTCCGGGGGCTAGAATAACAAACTCGAGCATCGGAGATTGCAGTGTGAGGCGCGGGCATGTATCAGCTCGCCAAGTGTGTGCGTCGAGCTATATACACACGACGAAAAGTGGAGATGGTCGTCGGTTGCTGGAAGACGCAGCCGGGAGAGCAGGCAGTAGTACGACTACGACGGCGGACGGTCACTGCTGCATACACAGATACGACACACATAGCTAATACATCACAAACTTGGAAAACAAAGAGGATGGCTCGGATCCGAGCGGGAAAGAGGAGCGCGCGAAACTTTGCCTATTTGTTAAGTCTTGAAGCGCATGCGACTGAAACAGACTCAGATACGAGCCGAAATGTTACTGCATCTCTCTGCTACCGTCGCTGCTGCTGCTGCTGCTGCCTTGTATCTACGAAGGAAACAATACCCAAACGAAAAGGAGAGTCGCTAGACTCCAAGGCGTCGCGCGCAGGCAGGCGGATGAAAGTTTTAGCTAGCCGCATGTGGGAATTCAGTTTATATATGCTAGACGGGCCAGAGAGCGACTGCAATAATACGCAGCGCGCCACCAGATAACTGATGCACTTCTTTCCTTCGTCCAGCGGCCCGACTCCATTATCAACCGCATGTACAAATGCACAATTTAGCCTTTTATTGGAATAACTTTGGGATTAAAAATCGAATTGGCGCGAGCGCCGTGTGCTGCGGCAATACGTGCCTCTCCTCGCGCACAAAGCATTTCAATATTATATATTATGCGTCTGTTGACTCGACGATGCGCGCGTCTGCGCGTATAATACATAAACTGCAGTATCACCGAATAACGAATCGAAGCGAGACTTTGTTCTTTCGGGCGCGTAAGAGAATATATATACCCCGTGTGCGCGCGCGAGGCAGGATGACGAGCTGCCTGACTGCCTGCCTGACTGCAACGCGTGGAGGGGGACAAAGTTTTGCAAAAACGCGTGACAGCTTATACAACGATCCGCGCATTATGTAAGCGTGTGTGTGTGTGTGTCTATGTGCTCGCATGTACTTTGGTTTGACGCTCGAAGAAAAGGGGATTCACTAGCGCGTATACGTACCTATACACACCGAACGACAATAATATTGCCTTAGGGCCAGACAACCACATACGCATCCGCGTGAATTTTCGCGATCTTTCTCTCGCGAGTCAGCGTGAAACGAGCGTACAGTATCCAATCCGTATGAGTTCGCGTCGAAAAATGAATATTGCGTTGTAGGAGAAAACACGCAGATGACACTGCGCAGTGCACCGGGTGTGCTTGCAATTATCAATCTTTTCTTTCGCTTCGAAAGAGGTGCAAAAGTCTCTCGAAGAACAACTCCCTTTGCCCCCCTCTCTTTCTCTCTCTCTCTCTCTCTTTCTCTTTCTCTTTCACCGTCGTGAGGAAATCTTCTATACATACATTATTCAAGATGTTTTTTTCGGCACTCGTATCAATGCTTATGCAACACGACTCCAAGGGTACGATTGTCGCCGGTGCATTCGATTTATGCACGCGGCGCAGTTACGCGAGCGCGCCTCGTTTCTTTTTATATGCAGAGATGCTTTTTGTCGTCTACATGTGGGGTGTAGCGAGCGAGCTGCGAGTGTATACGCCAAAGGCTCCTTGAGACGCGACTCGCGAAAGCCGATTTATTCGCAATCCCCCAGACACAAGAATAATCAAGAGTGTTGCTTCGACTCGACGTCGTTCACGCGAGGTTAAAAAGAAAGTTTAAATCAGACGCAAATTACTTTGCTTCTGTACCGATACGATGCGAACATTTTCGACAAATATACTTCTCAACTATATCTCGATCAATATATTAATGTATAAAAATTATTTTGTTGCAGAGAACCACATCTTGAGCATCGGCAAGATCGCAACAACTGTAAGTATAATAATTTTAATTGCACATATGTATCACAAAAAATTTATTCTGCAAGCTTTTCGATGCGTATAAGTAGCTCCGTTTCTCGGTCTCGTTGCAGCCCAGACGCATCGGGCTCGACTCTTATTTCGCTCGTACGAATAGCGACTTGAAGCTCGCTACGTATGACATAAGAATAAAAACCTTGCGTGTAATCATCCGTTCGCTGATTCCTTCGTTTCCCCTAATAAAAGTCTCACTGTCAGCTCGCGAACGATTCAACTTGCACAAAAGCTCGGTCGCGTCTTCTCTAGGCTCACACATGCTAAACTCTTATCCTCGTGTTGGTAATACGCGTACGGAGTATACGGCGCAGCGATGCCTGCCCGCAGCTATCCAGATGATGCACACACATGCATACACGACGGTACACGTATCTATCTATCCCGCAACTCCCTCTAATATATATGTGCGCAGTAGTGGATAAGACAAAGCGATACAGACAGAAAAAAAGTAGAGAATTACACATAAAGAGAAAGAGAAAAAGGGAGAGATGCACCCACGCCACACGCTCACATACATGCGCACCCACATACGGGTCAGAAATTCTGCTTGGCAATGCACCATCTGCGAATTGCACTTTTTTTAATTTCCTGCGCGCCGCCCGCCGCAAGGATGCAACGACGTCGTTGTCTCTCTTTCTCTCTCTCTCTTTTCACTATATCCACGTTTACCCTCCTCGTTCGCTCTCTATCTCTTTTCTCTGATTCTTTCAAAGAGTTTCGTTGCATGCATAGCTCGTAAGCGCGCACAGTACAGACGATGATGTCTCTGTGCTGATCTGCAAGGAAATCGACTTTGTGCCCGCGTATATATACGTATATATTTACGCTGCTCGATGAACGTTGAAGGGGTTCGAATTGATGACTGCGGCAGACCAGCTAGGAGCGCATGCGAAACTTTTGATTTTAGCTTGACGCGCGCGCGCTGCTTACTTGTCTCAAAATTTATCGCGCGCGATGATGAAAGTGATTTTTCCTCTTTGTGGATCGTTCGTCGAGTGATTTTCTCAATCTCATGACGCGATCGCTCGCAGATGTAGAAATATAAACGCCGTCATTCATCTTGCGCTTGATCGAAAGTCTTCAGAGAACTCGAGTCGTGAATGATGACTGGCGAGCGTGAGAAGATCTCGCCAAATTAGATTAGCTAAAATCTGCAGATAACTTTGATAAAACAAACAATTAAAAGCGTTTATTAGTTAATCGTGATACAAAAAACAGAAGCCTTCGAGTTGAGATTTTTCGTAAGTAAATAACTCCATGAGTAAATATCTACAGACAGAAGAAATGAGCATACTACCAAAAAAATTTGATTGGGTTTGCAAACTAGATTATGTAATACACTCGTTTTTTCCATCTGTGTAAACTCGAGAATTAGCAATTTCTTGCATTGTACTTGTCGTGGAATTTTGCTCCACTTGGAACGCGAAGAAAAATTCATCGAGGCAGTCTACGCTCAGCCATGCATGCCCACATACTGGCTCTTACGTATGTACACACTCGTTTGAAAGCAGTACAAGTCTCATTCATAAGACTGTTTTGAAGCGTAAGTAAGGGCGGTGCAAAGATCGTCGGCGTTTAAAGAGCCTTAGTGGCAACATGAGTAGGTATATGCGTGTATATAAAAAGCAAGTAAGCAAGCGACAGGTTTTCAAGGTGTGGCGCGTTTTAAAAGGATGGCCCGAAACGCAGCAGATGCGATCGCTCTCTCGAAGACGGGACAAATCCTTGTATCTATGCTTTCTCCTCTTGTGACGCAGGGTATATAGTATAGACACTTAAGGACGCGCGCGACCTCGAATTAGGGTCGATCTGCATCGATCGTTGCTAATTTGGAATGTATAGTGCTTAACATACCATAAATTTACTTCCTTTAAATTAATAAAATATTTCCAGATGTTTGATAAGTGCGCGGGTAGTAGAAGCGTGCCTAATCGAGTGCCAAGTTCCTGAACTTTTTTTCATTGCATCTATTCATTCTCTTCGAAGAATTTCATGATCCAACACAGGACCGCATGAATTTTAATAATTTCATAAATGTTCACAACCATTAAGTTGAAAGCATGAATGTAAATACAAGACCATGAATCCAGTGGCAATAGACGCTGAAAGAGACCAAATTATATATTGGTACACATCTTGACCACGGGCGCGTGCGCCGACGAAAACGCCCACACTTTTCTGACAGAAGAATAGCCGACTTTGCGGAGCGTCACTAAGCCTAGGCGTACGCGGAACACGAGCTCTTTTTTCTACTTCAGTCGTATTACTTACTTAAATGATCCATAGAGATCCATTGGCGCGTCGGATAATAAAAGAGAGATCTTTTTATTGACGATCAGATAATATTTTCAAACGTGGATCCCCTTGTAGCATTAAAAGTCAATTTTCTATTTGTTAGACCTCCCCCGCACGCGCGCGCGCGCGCACAATAGACGCGCTTGTCACTCGATCCTGCGTGAAAAGACGACGCTGGAAAAAAATTTGCCGCCGCGCTCCGCAGTCGCGTATCGGTGATTTATATTATTATTCCTTGCCTTCGTACACAAAACGCCTTCTGTGTAGCTTGCGACCAAGTTAGACACTTATTTTCTTTCACTTTTTCTTTCCACACCGGATATTACCCCGTGTGGCGATTAACGACACATTATTGGCCGTAACGCTTGACCGATCTATTCATTTTTCTTTAACGAGCGTTTAACACCTCGTTGTTGTCTGAATAAAGATGTTTTTCTCGATGAGCTGTAAAAAAGTGCGTAACGCGTGTCTTTCATTTACAATCGCGACGATATTCAGCCTGCACGGACCATTTACTCGGATTTACTTGGCAATTAACCGTACAAATAATGCAACAAATAAATTTAATGTCGAATGCCGTTGCATGAATGAGGTCGAAATGAATTGACGGTAATCAGTGTGGCCGCCGTTTTTACATGAATAACTTATGATTTTTCTTCTATAAGCTCGAATGCTTGGCAAAGATAGCGATTCGTTCATTATTAGCACTTCTTTTTCGCAAATGACTTTTAATCTTAAATTGAAATTAAAATTTTATTCGACTCATACTTTAATTTTGACGTTATTCTATAACACGATGCATGAAGTAGCTAAATGGAAACACAAGAAAAAAAATTGTCATCGAATATTGTATAATGTAAGAAAAATATCGGTTCAGTCACCCATCATTAGAATCGACTAATCATAGTACAGAATAAATTTAAATTGAACGAAGCATTTTTCGTTCAATACGTGTAAGATAATTTGCCAGGTTTGAAATTCACGTATAATCAACTCACGAGCAAAAAATATGTCAATTATAAATAAAAAATTGAATCTAAAATGATGCGGTTGTCTTGGATATTCAAAAAATACATTCAAATATTGCAACAGATGTACGCCGATGCAGACAAGATCACGTTATATTATTTACGTCAACGTAAAAAAAAAGACAAACAAAAAAAATTTGCCGAACGCAATAAGCGCGCATACGAAGTTTGGAAAAAAAGCCGTGAAACGCTGCTGGTTTTTCTGCGCGCATGATATAAGCGCGCGTAACATAACAAAAACAATTTGAAAGGAGCAAAAGCGGCCAATGTAAGCGCGTGCATTTCAGCGCACACACGTACGTACGAGGCGCGCGCGCGCGTATGTGCACACACATTAACAATCAAACACAAAAAGCTGCAGCACAAGATTGCACAAGGGGAAACGAGAAAGAATTAGAAGGAGAGAGAGAGAGAGAAAGGAGAGAGAACCCCTAGTTGATCTAAAGTAGTAATGCGTCGCGTACTATCGCATACCTGGAGCAGCTGCTCCAAGTTGAAGAACCGAGCGCCGAGCTCCTGTGTGTAAGCGCTCTGTATATAGGGTGCAAAACAGAGACAGAGAAAGTGAGCTAAGTAAGGGGAGCTACTTTATGTACGGCGGCAGCGTACGGCAGCGATCGCGTATATAAGTAAAATGCGCTTACTCTCGATTTTTCGCGCAGCTACCTATCCTATATATACCTACCTTACGTTACATTATAAAGTCGAGGTGGGACGAGAAGCGAAAGAGAAGGAGAGAGAGAGAGGGTCACGCATGAGAAGAGGCCCATCTGCCCCCCCGCGTATACGCATGTAACGACGTTCGAGTGACGTCAGGTGTGACGAACGGCTGTCTTGCTCCAAGCTGTTGATAACGACACCGACAGCAGAGGTATGCGCGCGAGGCTTGCACGACCGTATGCCTTATTGCAATACCCAAAGGGACTCGCCGTATACGATGCTCACCTTTCTGGCTCATCGCGAATTTACCAACGCTCTATAATTAGTCCGATGAGTTTCAATTTTCAGAGCCCACGACTCGATGCATCAAAGTGTAAAAACAAGAAAAACAATTATTATGACATTTATTCTGATATTTCATTTTTATTGCAATTTGGGGAACAATTTTTTTAAAAATTGTTATACTTTAACATTGGAAACAACGAAAAAGAGCGAAACAATTAAGCAAAACAGAATTGCTTTCGCATCTAACTCGCTGTTTCTTCGCATACTATTTTGTCCTTTACAAGACGAGCTACAAATTATAACGAAGTTGGTCGAGTTGGCGGTCCCAACTGCAGCAGATATAATCCCTGCGTATACATGTATACGAAAAATATATGCTTATGGACGCATATAAACGCACACAAGTCAGCCGCACGAGTGCCGGGCTTGCGTGTGCCCTATTAGTACGAGAGAAGTAGGGATAATTGCAGCTCGTGACGAGCTGGCGCGCTCTTTCTCGAGTTCCTGTGCAGTCGAGCTAAGGGGGTGCTGCCGCTGCTGGTGGCATACAGTGCGCGAGACTCGATCCTCGTCCCTCCCGCCTTTCCTCAGCTGCTAGTTGCCCCCCCTACCTCCTTCCCGCTCTTGTCGCAAACGTACGTATATAGTTTTCAGGAAAGTCGAGGAGCGCGCTACACCTACACCTCGA